GAAAGAAGGGTGAGAGAAGGGGCATGGAGCAGAGGAGGAGGCTGGAGAAGATCCTGGGGAGCAGAGCAGAAGCCAGGAGGAGGGAGATGGAAAGGCAGTCAAATAGCAGAAGATAGTTTCACTGGGAAGTGTGTTTTGTGCCATGAGTACCCGTTCTAGGCATAGGCACACTTGGGTTTCCTTTGACTCCAGCTCCCCCATGGTCCTCCTTAAAGTGACTTCCATTCCAAAGAGTGGGATATGGACCGTGCCATTCTTGGGAAATCCCTGTTGAGTCTTTTGCCGAACTGACGTGTGCCAGCCCTGTAGCAGGCACGGGTGCTCACTAAATGGTGTTTTGAGCCTTGAGTCCCACCTACCCTTTCTGTCCAAAACCCTGCTGTCCCAGGTTCTGCATCAGCATGCAAATGATCGTGCAGTAGTGCTTTGCACAGAAGAAGAGTTCTTGATTTTATTCTCTTATGTAGAAATCACAGTAGGTCCCCCTCTGAACATGGCTCGCTTCCCAGCTCCAGCTGCACCATGCTCGACCTACCTACACAGCAGGAGCCCTCAGTGCCAGCCAGAATTTCAGAGTGCCCAGCCCATAGCAGATGCTGCTTTTCTCCATGGAACCTGTTGGGTGCTGTGCAATTCAAAAAATTTGGTTGTGTAGACAGCAGACACGCTGAGTCTGGAGGCACCAACCTTGTGGTGGGGAACAGAGGAAGGAGGGGAATGCGAGAATTCAGCACTTATTGGAGACAAGAGAGGAAGAAAAAAAATCTCAGCAGCATGGATACAAAGCTAACATGATGCCTGTTGCAGTAGGTTCTCCCGTGCAACCATATGCGGGCAAACTACTCCATTCTGGAGGCTGGTATGCAGCGTTCATGAAAAGCAAGGGGAGGGTTGGCAGAGGGATGTCCTTGCCTGGGTGGCAGAGGGGAAGATGCTGTATATTGGAGTGCACGGGACATTACTCAGAGGTCTGGAACGAGCTTTAGGCCCTTGGAGCTCAGCTAGCTGGAAGCACGCAGTGATTCCCTGGAAGGGGTGGGGGGCATAGGCTGCTGCTCTGCATGTAGTGAGGCCCTCTGGATAACGTCGCATTGTGAGCGCTGCGGGAGCTATAGAGGAAAACACTAAAGCATGGCTTGAATCAACCCTGGCATGTTTTCAGAAGGCTCCTGGTTGATAGGAGTGTTTGAGCCTTTCGAGGCAGGGCTCTGGAGCCAGCTCTGGGGTTTCAGTAGCTCACCAGTGACATCTAGTGTCCAGATGGGAACACTGTAAATGAATTAATGTTGAGCAAATGTAAGGGTGGTGGGAAGGAGAAGCGGGCTTCAGAGCCTTTTAGTCTGTTCACAGAACAGGTGCAACAAGGACTGACACCCTTACAACATTCCCAGGCTGCCTCACTAATACACCTTCACCCTGACTATGGAGGAACCCCCCTCATGGGGGCAGGGGTAAATCTCTGGGCCTATTCAGTTCTTACCCTATTTTCTGAGGCTGCTAGCAAGGACCTAATTAGTGCCAATTGTGCTGAGGGTTTTGTGATAGACATACTCCCCATCCAGAAGCAGTTAGAGATCCACATATTGTAAGCTACTGAACAGCTCCTGGAGAACAGCATCACCAATTACTGTCAGCCTGAATGGTGTTTGGGTGGGGGACATACAAGCTAGCAATATAGATGTACAAGGTCATTAGCAGTCTTCAAAGTTCACCAGCCCTTCCCACTCCCAACATGGATGTGTTTAAAGTTACAGCCTCTGAAATAATGAACACACCAGACCATAACACAGGAACTGAAAAGTGCTGAGTCTAGTGTTGAGAGGCATAAGCTGCATAAGACCTGCAAAAGGAGTTCATTAAGCCAGGCCTATTAATATGCTGTAGGCTTGTGCAAAGCCTCTAACTGCAGAAGGATCCAGTGCCAGGTTTCACACTCCCAGCCCCTGAATGCAGTAGGAAGCACCCACACAACTGAGCAAGTGCCAGCCTTCCCACTCTTCAGTCAGTGGGATGCAAAGCCGGGTGTATTTATGTTGAGATTCACCGTCCTGGCTTCAGAAAGCAGTGGGGAGAATGCGTATTCTGTGTTCAGACTGGGATTCACAGAATGAACACAGAAAGGACCTACATCCCTGATGCACTATTGTGTTAAGATTCATGTGCAATAGCATGGCCTGAACTTCGAGATGCAGATGAAGCCATGCGCTAGTGCCAGGATTCATACTGAATGCAACAGGATTGCCCTAAGGCAGGCAATTATAATGCCCAGATTCCCACCCAAGTGTATTAAAGTGCCTGGTTTCATGCCCCAATACATTATAGTGCCAGGATCTACACCTCAGGGCATTCTAGTGCCAGAATTTATGCTCCCCGCCTGCAAGTGCAGTAGGAACAGAACTTTAAAACTGATTAGCTTGCCTATATTTTTTCATGCGTCTCCCAATGCTTTTTGTCTCAGGTCCGGGATAAGAAACTTCTCAATGACCTGAACGGAGCTGTTGAAGATGCCAAGACAGCCCGGCTTTTCAATATCACCAGCTCAGCACTCGCCACCTTCTGCATCATCCTTGTCTTCATCTTCCTGCGATACCCGCTCACTGACTATTAGAGCGAGGCCAGCAGCAGTTGCAGCCAAAATGCCTCCGTGCCAGAAGTGTCTGCCGTTATTTCCTGTAGCAAGGGCACAAACAATGACCCATCTTGATTGCAAAAAATACAAATAAACCGATAAATAACTAAACCCAAGGGAGCATACCTTCCCTGACCCCAGCTGGTATGTGAACTTCTGTAGAAAAGGGTTTTACTTTTACATTTTTACAGGAAAATATTTATTTTTCGTGATGAAGAAAAGCGTGCAACGATGATGATGGGCAAAGCAGAGAACTTTGATGCATCTTGAGCCAACAGACCTAGCTAGGGACAACAACCACAGCAGCGGAGGAGAAGACACCATCTAGAGAACACGGTGCCCTCCATAACCCAATGCTTCAAGTGAAGTGATATGACCAGCTCAAATGGTGGGCTGCTCAGGGGATGGAAACCAGTAGATGACCTTACTGGGAGAGGGGACCTCCAGATCTCCCAGGCATCTCTCTGGAAGCATGTGCACTGATTAAAAGCTCGGGAGAGGGAGGAAAGAGTCCAGCAGCTGAGAGAAAAACCTGACAACCAAGACAGGGCTGATTCAGAAGCTATCAGATGGTTCAGGCCACTATTAAGCCCTCTTTCTTTCTCTC